CCGCCATGGCGAGCAGCAGCGGCTCCAAGGCCGAGTTCATCGTCGGGGGCAAATATAAGCTGGTGCGGAAGATCGGTTCGGGCTCCTTCGGGGACATCTACCTGGCCATCAACATCACCAACGGCGAGGTAAGGACGGCCCCGTCCCCGCTCCTCGTCTCGGGCCGGACGGGGAGGCTCCCGGGCAGGGGCATCTCCTGCCTGCCCCTTTCCCCGTGCGGGGACGCTCCTCCCGTGTCCCTGGGAGCGGGGCCTCGAGACAGATACCCCCTGTCTTGGCTCCCTGTTTTTAGTTCCTCGGAGACCTTTCCCGTGGTGCTTGGATCTGAAGACTGGAAACCACTGTAGCCGGATTTGCCTCCCCAGGACGGGTGTCCAGAGCCTGGTGGATTGCGCTTGTTTGAGGAGCCTGCCGGATACGTGGGGTCTTGAGCTAGTGTTAGGAGCCCTAGAGAACTCGTATTTGTGTTTCTCTGAGCAGGGTTTTGTTGAGGAGGGTGGAGTCCCACCTCTCTCTTAAATCCCTCTTCAGCCCCAGCGGTGGGTCTGGTTGTGTGGATGGCGGCTCTGATCCCTGTTGCCTCCCCTGCAGGAAGTGGCTGTGAAGTTGGAGTCTCAGAAAGCTAGGCATCCCCAGCTGCTGTACGAGAGCAAACTGTACAAGATCCTGCAAGGGGGAGTCGGCATCCCGCACATACGGTAAGGTTCGCACGGGCCGTGGGCTCGCCCGTGGCAATTCTTGTTGGGTACGATAGTGTTTCCGGGGGATTCTTAGTCGGAAAGGAGTGGGGCCTGGCCTGGCCGGGCATTTGGCAGTCTGCGCAAGGCAGCAGAACTCCAGCCCGGTGATCTGTAGGTGTCAGTCCTTTCTGTGGCAGTCCCAAAGAAGAGGAAAAACCTTTCAGCAGTTGGGATTATGGGCTGCCTTTGAGAGCATGATGCTCCTAATGAGGTTGTGATTTGGGGTCAGTGTTGAAATGGCTGCTCTCTTTTGTTATGTATTTTTTTTTTTTTTTTTGTTCCAACATGTCTTCCTCTTCTCAGAAAATGGCGGATGGCTGTGATTAACCCTCCCCCATCTTCTGTTGGGACAAGGGATATGCTCAGGCATGTATCTCTCTCTCTCAGCATAGTTATATCTGGAGGGCTTGAGACTGCATAGAGCCAGGGAACAGAATAGCAGCCACTTTCAGTGGCCTGCAAGAGATGCGTCACTTAGCCCTCTATAGAGTTACAGTTCTGAGATGATTCTTCCTCCTGTTTACTAGCTGTGTAGCCTCCTTGACTCAGACTTGTTGTGAAGATTTCCCTTCTTTTTCTCTAATGGAACAAAAGAAGATTAGTCAAACTGTTCTTGAATTTTTAGCATAGTAGGGTTTTGGATCTGGTCACTGCACTAAGTGATAGAAAATAAATCTAGTATTGTTTGGCTTCACTCACTGGAGCTCTGCAGTAACACTGGTATTAAGAGGAATTTTTAGTCTATGGATAAGGCCTTTCTGTGTAGGGTTATTTTGGGAGTGTTTATTTTTATTCAGAGTGGTTTTTTTCCCCTTAGAGATTTTATTAATGCTTAAGTATATCATGTTAAATTCAGTCAATTGCCTCTGATTTCTGCAATGTGAGGTGCATGACTACAACAGTTACTGAGTTTATTAGTAATGAAATATAAAGCTAATAGCTGTCTACTGACTTAAAGCTTGTTCACTTTTTATTTTGTTTGGGTGTATTAGTATGCAAATACTAATCCTGGGATAATCCAACAGACCTTGTAGAATATTGTGATTATCATTGC